TTAATATAAATAAAATAAAATTAGGTATGAAAGAATATATAAAAATATATTGTATGATAAATAAATCATGCAAAAACATTATATTTTTATTCAATTCACTTTTTTATTAACAATAACAAGAATTTTTCAGAAACAAAATTTATTTTTGGCAATTGTTTTTGGTATTATTATTTTTAAGAAATATACGTGTTATCAAAATAACTTGTTCATAGTCTTTAACAAAATGAGCTATGTATGAACCGATTAATTAGCAATTCAGAGTCGTCAACATTTCCATCATTATCGAAACGTCAATTATTGCGGTGTCGGAGTGGTCAGTAGTTCAACAATAATTTGACGCATCAGCTGAATTTCATCTGTCTGCAGATAAATTGGCAACAAAAACATCTTACCGTGAACATTTACCGTAACATCGTGCGTCGATTTACAATACAGTCGACTAATTGATCGATGCGCTCAAAAGAACGTAGCATCAAATCAACGAACCAACAGGAAATGAGGCATCGATCGTTATATGTAGGTGCATATAGGGCACGTATGCGCTGCTAATGTTGCGCAATTATTACAAGCGTAATTGCGAAGGATCAATCGCGGATACGAACGAGAATTTAGATCGTCCATATCTGACTGATAATTAATGTATAATAATGTAAAAAAAAATCATGTATTATTTTAAAATAAATTTATCTCTGTTCGGTAAAAATTTCGCTTATAATTTTATGTTTTAATAAATTTTGTTCTTAAAAAATTCCTGTCGCATAATTAATAAATGTTCAAAATAAAATATGCATCTTTCTTAAAAAAACTTCCATAATTATACAAATTATAAACTGTCCCAGAGTAATTAATGAATCAATAACTCACCACTCGACTTCTCTTTCATAATTTACTTGGTATGAACACTTACCTGTAACAAAAATAAACATAACATTAATAAAAAAACCTTAAAAAATTTTGTTTTATTATCTGTATTATATATTTCACTCGTTATTTAATTCCGCATTTTATCGTAACAAATGCTCGGTGTCAACGCTATAAATCTAAAAACAATAAATCCAAAGCGCAACAAATACCATGTGGAGCTCAAGTAAACGGTACCCGGATTTTCGAAGAAAAATAAATGGCAGGCATTGTCTCAAGAAGAAAATCCCCTCAAGAGAAACGTTATCCACTATTGCGAAAATAAAGCTCACGCGATCGTTGCCAAACCGGTAGTCGAATTTTGCGGATACCTATAAGTGACGAATCCGCATTTCTGGCCGAATTCACAAACCGTTCAAGATATTCTGGTGCGCGCGCTAAATATAAAATAAATATTTTCAATTTAATTTTGAGTATGCGTCTAATTTCGAATATACATCAAGAGAAAAATTTTTTGATAGATATATTTGAGACGATAATTACATATGTTACCATAATAAAATACTACTAAAAATACCAAAAATTCTCTCAATGTAATAAAGTTTTAAATACATTTTTAAAGAGCCGCAAACGGAAAAAACGTTATAAAAAGTATCATTATTTTCGGTTGTGGCAACATCAAATAAAATTATATAAAATTAAATGAAATCACGTGGGAAAATATTTTAGATAGTGGTTACCCCTTCGTAATCGCCACGGAAAAAATGTTATTTATTTAATGACAAATAATTTTCCTCATTATATATACATATCATTTGGTAAAATAAACGATTTTATCTAATATTTCTTGTATATGTAATTATTGGATTATATATCGGAATTTCATATAAATTTTATAATGATTTCAGGGACTTCGTCCTACGATTATATTAAGTGATTACCCCCTCGGGCGATAAAGTATTTAATTTTCGATTAGCTCGAATATTAATTTTAATATGTTTTAATTATTTGCAAAAGATTATCACAAGCAAACCATCTAGTAATTAAATATTCAAATATAATATATATCGTTTTATTATTAACCCAGTAAAAAAATTATAAAATATAATTATAGTAGATCTTGGAATAACTAAACACAACTAAAACTTCACAACTGCGAAGACTGGAATCACGAACACATCTGCACGCACTATATGCTTCATCTCGTTTCATTTGCTATTCATTAATACCCCAAGGCTATCGCAAATACAAATAACAGACACAATACTGGGCCCTGTTCTCTATTTATTCTGGACCTTGGCTCTGCAAACTATTCTCATGACACCTCAGTTATCTTCTATTATCCCTATATTTCCATTCTTAAAGATTGTATTTTGCACATAATCTTTTATTTAACAACTGCAATTTTTGCAAGTCTAAAATGTTGTTACATCTTAGGTTAAAAATATTATATTTTAATATTTAAGTGTAAATAAATATAAGATATACCTAATTACTTATAAGAATGAAAAATATTATAAATCCACGTTCAAAATAAAAAAAAACAGCATTAAATTTCAAAATGTCGTAGATTTTACAACCACTCTTTACCAATTTAAAGTCACTTTTTTCTTAAAGAGGATATTCTGATAATAATAATCTGATAACAATAACTTTGAAATGAGATAAGCAATTAGAGTTTAAAAGTTTTTTTATAAAATAAACTTTAAAAGGACAAATTCCAAACAAACAACAACAAAAATCATATTCTTCACTTAAGTTCACAAGTGAACTTTAATAAAATTTAAATTTAAAGTTTTAAAAAATATAAGATATTGAAAAAAAAGAGAATTAAATTAAACGATAGCTTTTCTCAGCTGATGAGAAAAAGATCGACCTCAGACTAGTTAAGAAACTTGCTGTTACCGTAGAAAAAACGTGTAGTAGTCACTAAGTAAGTAGTGAAGCATCCTATATAACTAGACTGAATTGCGATTACACGTGGGACAATTTAGAAAAATGTTTCACTCGAGTTTCTAAACGTTATTTAAGATGAACAGCAAAGCTTCTAGGTAGCGGTTTAATTGACGGCTAATTAAGCGGAACCTTCATGGGCGATTAAACAGCACTCACGAGCGACGGGCACTTCTACGTACAATTCCCTTGGACATTTGTAACATATTATTAGATTGTTCATGTTTTGTGAACCAGTCCCAGAGATGCTGACAGTTCCCATAGTGAGAAACATGTGCGCTAATGACGAAGGAGTTAACATATAACTATAACCATCCAAACTAATTGACTATCAAATCTACATTGCATGTACAGAATCTCTCGGTATTCCATATGGATATATGCAGTTTCAGGAAACCACAAACTGAGATTTACCTTCGCGTGTGACCACGGAGTATGAATATAATCAATGTTGCAATTGCATATTGATTGTAATTATAATATTTACGATTAATATCCACTTTACGATTACACTTGTCAATAAGCAATTTTGATACATAATTTAAGGAAAAACTAAATAAATATCCTCATTATTATTCTTTGGCGTGATTAAACAGTCAAATCAAATTAATTTTTAATAAGCCAAACTAATTCTTCAAAGATATCAAAACGTTTGCAAGTTATCACCGTATCTTTATCCATTGCTAATACCATTTATATCAACTTTTAATTAACTATGAATATAAAGTGCAAGCTGCCATGTACAATGATTAAATTATAAGCATTTTCACAATCAACTTCAAACGACACCAATCCCTATTTCTCCTATTTCCGTTCCTTTTTTGTAAGCTACTCCAAAATAAAAATTTTTTAGTGAAATTATTATTACAACACACACTTATTTTTTGTCTCTTAAGGTATATATTTTTAATAATTCGTAATAGATTTAATAATTCTTAATGCATCTGAAAACTTTAAAAATAAAAATTATCCAGATTATTAAACACAAAGATAAAGCTTGCTTAGCATATTTCCTTCAAAAATACAATATATAATTATATTATATTGTTTTCTTATTTAAATATAATTATTTTATTATAATTATATCTATATATGCAATAAAAAATAAATAATACATAGATATACATATACTTTCACTCTTATTCGTTATTTTCCTATAAATCATGCCAGACTCTAACCGTTAAACCGATAAAGAAAAATGACGTGTTCAAAGAGTATTAATAAAAAAAAAGGATTATATTTTTCCGCAGTGCGATTGCATTTTGTTTATTTTTTTAGCACGATTTTAAGATATCTTCAACACGATCAGAGTTATCCGCATCCGACAGTTCGGGGAGGCGAGATAGTCCGCTTTTCATCGGTTTTCATAGCCGTGTACGAAACATCCCCTCCTCTCTAAATACTGTGAATACTGTTCCTCGGGTCGCGCACAACGAGATCGCGTAGACTCCGTTTATTAGAACTTTGTAAAGGCCGCTGCCGTAACCTCGCAGTCTCATCAACGCGTGACGTGATAAACGAGCACAGCCGCCACGGTGAAAGTCCCCCTAGCATCGTCGTCACTCGGGACTTCTCACATCATGAGCGAGAAGCGAAGGTCCCGTGAAACTTCAGGAACATAAAGCGCGCCAGGAACAGTACAATTTCCGGCTGTACTTCTCGGCCGCGCGTTTTTCAGGAGGAAACACCACCGACGATGGTCACGACGAAGGAACTCGGCAAAAAAAAAAAACAAATAAAAAAAGAGGCTGAAACAGTGCTGCCTGATGTTACGGTAATCATAACCATAATGCAACACGGCAAAAGTGCGTGTCGTATCCTGAAGTTGAGAAGCATGCAAAATACAAACGCGTAAACACGGTGCATATTTAAGTAGTTTTTATACCAAAACATAAACTGCTTATATAAAATTCTAACGATTTTTCTTACAACACAAATGTTATGCTATTTATCCTCAAAAGTAATCGTCAAAAAACATACGTTTACTTCAACTTGATTTACTTTGTAATTTGAAGAGTTTACGTTCTTTTAAATACTATTTTACAAATATATTAAAATAAAAACGATTTGTTATAAATATTTCCTTTCACTTTTAAAATAACTGTTTTTTTATGGAAAGAAATAAGTTTAGAAATATAATTCTTTACATCAACATATTATTTTATTGTAGTGGTCTAAGTAAGCTTTCATAGAAATGATCTCCCTATAAAAGTAATCACAAAATGTTCAATCTTTTACACATTAGGTAAGTAACTTAGCAATTCCAACTTAATTAATGTTAAAATAAATAGTAGTTAAAATATTATTAAGTCACAAAAAGATCTCTGAATGTTGCTCACAATGTATAATATTTTATGAAAAGGAAGAATTTTGATCATAAAAGATTAAATTTATTCCAAATTAGTATATATTAACATGTAAAAACTTCTAAAACTGTTAGAACTAATTATTATTTATATTTTAACGCTACCATGTAATTCGCAATAATGCGAAAATATTCATTTCGTATATATCATAAGAAAACGTCAACTATATTGATCAATAATGAAACAGACTGTTTTGCTTCTCTGTCACCTCGCGGTAATTTATGAACAACCTAGCGGTTCTCTTGTTGCGATCATCAGCAAAATGTATCATTTGTGATAATTCTATTATACGGACAATAATTTACCGCCAACAGGTGACCTATTAATAGCTTATGTCTCTTTAATTATTAGCTCATGCATATCGTTAAAACGTTACAAACAAACGTATAATTCACCGCTTGATAATTGTACCAATCGAACAACGAAATTGCACTGTTTAACTAGAAGAGATGTTGCATATAATCAAAGTTAAACCAATGCATCTGATCTCTGTCACGTACAAACTCAAAATTTATATATAATACATACTCATTTAAACTGAATTTCTTTGTTACTTTATCGGTTCTTTGCCCTTTTTTATATACATTGTTTTATACTCACAAAGCCTTATTATATAACCTTTATTATATTTATAATACATATATTATGAAGTAAAAGATACATATAATATAATTATAATATGAATAATTTTGTATGAAATGTTTTACTAATGTAATGCAATTACGCGACATATTCTCTATATGTACTATAACTCTCTCTTATAGTCTTGGCAAAGATGAGCAGGTAGTTACAAACGCAAGTTGTTCGTTCGAGATCATGTAAAATGCAAAGAGAAGATGAACGCTCTAAGGCATTTCGTACAAAGTGCCTCAAGGGTCACGTACTTTCTTTTACCCTGCAGATACCTCAGCAAATTTCGAGTAAATTTTTCCTTAGCAAAAATTTCTTTTGAACATCAACTGTTATCACAGCTCTTCTGTTTTTAATTATTAATCGCCTAATAACTAGCATTTAATTTATAACTTTGTTAAAATAAAATGTCCACTTGAAGAAACTGCTTTCAATTCAATAGATAATTAATATTTTAACAGAAACAATGAGTTATTAAGAACAACCGTTAAACTTGAAAAGAAATTAATCTCAGTTCTACTTTCTCAGGATTCCAAGGAAGTGTAAAGGTGATTCCATAAATGCCACATCAGAAGAATATTCTACAAATCTACGTTGACGTATTGTAATTTTTAAATGATTTAATATGCTAATTTTATATGATGTTATATTGTTGAAGTGAAATATTAAACTTTCCTTTCATATTTCTTTCCTTATTCATAATGTAATTTCCCTATTTCGTGAAATATCTTATGCAACTATTTATCATAGTAAGAAATAAAAAGTAATATATTAATTATACATATATTGTTTCCTTATTTCAAAAAATGTATATTTAACATAAGTTAACTTATGTTATTTTGATTTCTCCTTAAAAAAAACCAACTTTTTTTAACGATATCTTACAGAATCATGACAAAAATCCAGAATAATTTAAAAAATAACACAACTCGAAATATCTTCAATAGTTTGTATTCTCACGTTATAATCTAGCTAAAATGACTCAAAAATTCAAAATAAAATAATTTCTTCTTCAAACTTCGATCACCAGACCGTCTTAATTGTAATTGTTCTCTATAGAAAACTTTTTTTTATTTATAAGAACGACACTATAAAATATTTTACTGTTGAGACAAAGTATTATGATCACTTATATATGAAAATCTCTCTATCTCTGTCTCCGCACATTTTATCAGAAAACAAAATCATTATATGTAAGAGGAAAATAACTTTTTAACGCTCACACAATACGAGTGTTCGCTGTTGGGAGAGCACAGGTGTGAATGCGTCTTAAAATTCTTGTCGACGCGAGCGTAGTTCACGGTACCGTTCGCGCGTGCGGAGAAAGTACACCTCGAGGTAGGATCGAGGCACAAAGTTCACTGGGTTCATCGTTAACTACGTCCACGGAACGGTGAAACTTCGTAACTTACCGGTGGCGAAGTTCCACCAGCAAACTTTTCGCGTCCGAGAATCACTTTGTGTATGCCCGCCCGCGCTTCAGCCCTTTGAGAACGCGGGTACGAAAGAGCATCGGTTCAACATACCTATACCGCTACCCGCCGAATGCATTCACCGTTTCATCGGTTAAATTTTCTGTTTGCATAGCCACGTCCGTTACTTTAGTCGCGCGAAGTTAACGAATCGAACTTCCTCCTCTTATTTTTGCGAGACACGTCGCGCCTCAAAGAAGGAAAAACGTACTGCGCTCCAAACGCTTGTGATTCTTTTTCACTTTTAGCACAGTGTGTTTCTACGAGAATAGAATAAAGGCCATAAGTATATTTGGAAATATTCGTAAAACAATTGTATTGTTAAATATCTCGCTTGACATACATAAATTTTAGTTAAAAGCTAAACATAGGATAACATTACGTCTGTATACTATTTTCGAGAGAAATATTTTTAAAAAACATTTTACATACGAATTGAAAATTCATTAATTTTGAAATACAGCATTTCAAGTAATAAAAATTAAATAATATTTTCAATCAAAATAGAAAAATAACAAGCTGCTCTTATTGAGCAGCCCGCAATATACTTTTATCAGTGAAAATACATACAGTCGGTTATACATATTTTGCATTACAAATATCAAAACAAAAATTTTCGTTCTGTTACAATCTGCTTCCTCAAACCGACGATATATGTCGGCCATGTATCAAACGCAACCCGAAAACGAATCGGTAAATTTACATTTCCCTCGCCCGAAATTGCATCTTTATTTTCAATCACGGGCAAAATCGGGACAACTGCCAACAGACCGCCATAACTTGCGATTTCGAGTGTTACATCGAATCGCACGTTGCACCCATAATTCACGTTTCACACCGTCCCTTGGTGCATACAAAATTGAACCCTTTTCATCCGACGAGTCATCATTGTACACGCATAATATGCTTCGCAGTATTGGTGCGTACGCTTTCATTTAGCGTGTTGATGGTATGAAATGTGTTTTTATTTACGCTCAACCACGAAATATCACTCGATATCACTCGCTCTTTGTCCGCAATAACAGCCGTCATATTTAACAAGATAATTTAACGAAATGATCTGCATAAAGGAGTTTAAGAAAAAACAAAGTACTATTATGGATTTATGCAGGAATTAAGTAGATAAATGATTCACTTTGTCTGCTTATGAATTACTCATATTTTTATGTTTATTTATATAATATATTAAACAGTATTATGACAAATATAGCACTTATTTAGCATTAAAAAGCAATTTATTAGTTTTCATCAAACATTACATCGTAAAAATTATTTCTATATTGTATGTTAAATTGTGTTAATTGAAGTGCCATTACTTTGCTAATAATTTTTTTCTTTTCTTTCTAATTCGCCATATTCCATTTAGAAAATTTTTAATCCATCATTTATAAACTTAAATAATTGTTATTACACTTTCCGAAGAGCGAAATTACTCCGAAGCGCTTGCCAAAGTGTACTCAGTTTTGATGTAAGCTCCCACAATAAAATAATCCTCCCTCTCAACGCTCTCGCCGTGGATTTATCCGTTGAAATTAGTGCGGTTAAAACACATAGCGCCCGCCGTAACGATTACAGGAGCGATTACGCGGATCTCGCTATGCAATTGGTTCCACTCATTTCCAGCAGGATGACGGTATCCCCGTCGGTATGAGTTTACCGTGCACACGTAACGGAAGATAAATACGGCAGTATAACTTCGCCGTACAAGCCAATTTGGCAACGAAATGTCATTAGGAAGCGACGTATGTAACGGCGTTAATTGTAATGCCGGTGCGAAAGCGGATAGTAATTCGTTATCTCATCCTGTACATGTAAGCAAATGTAAGACATCGATCGTCACACAAGGTCCGTGTGTATCCGCACACATGAAAGGTTAATGTTATATACCGAAAGTCAAAAGACAAACTTAATCATTTACTACTAACTTTAGTGTCTCTTTGATTAATATCTCTTTGAAATGGCAAGCTAAAAATGTCTATATAAATAAATAAATAAATATCAATATTTTTACAAGTGAAGAATTAGTAATAATATCGTATATTGATTTGATAGAAAAACAGATATGAATAAATAAAAATATTTATCGTATCATATGTAACTTATTTATAACAATTATATTTGTATCACATACATGTATAACTTGCAATAACATGTTGCAACGCAATTTAAATTTATATATAATTCACTTTGATACTCTGTAAATATTTTGGAATGAATCTCATTTCAAAAGAATGAAAATTCTACTATTTTTTTTAAAGAGCGGCCAAAATTGTCATTCTTTAAAAATTAAATTCATTCTTCAAAAGTTTCATTCTTTGGAGTGAGATTCATTTTAAAGGATTTAGAGAGTAAGAGATAAATATAAAATTGCAAATTCTAATTTAAAAAATGCAATTTTTTATAAAAATATTTTTCTAATAATCAACTGGTGCATAAAATTTAATCTTAAATTTACGTACTTATTTGCGTAATTTCCAACCGCAAAATAAATGAAGGATAAACGAAAGATTAATTTTCTATCTGAATAAATATAATTAAAAAAGTGGTCTGTGTCAGTCTACGTAATATCATATTATACCCAGTCATTTGATAAGATTAGCGTACACAGGATTTATCTTTCATTTGCAGACGTATTAATTTTAATGCATCGTAAGCGGATCAAATCATGTTAATGATTCTCGAAGATTATTAATAATTAATAAAATCGCAGTCGTAAAAGTGTATCATAATATTGCTCTTTCTTATTTCTCTTTCTTTCTTCCTTCAGCACGATTTAAACAGGATGAAATTAAGATAATATTCACGTCATTTATGCTGACATGAGTTCATTAATATCTAATCTGAAAATTAATTAAACTTAATATACCTCCCAGGTCTGAAAATTAATAACATCTATATCCTTTCCATTTCTAATCATTACGAAAATGGCTTATCTCAAATATAAAGAAATTAGTCGAGGAAAATCGTGTATTTTATTACTATTTTTTTTGTATTATTGTATGTATGTAATACAAAATTTTTTATCGTTAGAAAAGATTAATACAGCAAAAATAAAATTACCTTAAATAGCTGTCATCAAATAAAAAATGCTTCCAAGAGCTCAACATTAATATTGTGGTTTGTACATTAAATTTATTCAATACGACAGCAAGAGGCATTTTTTATTCGTTAAGTTTAAACTTTTCTAACTTGAGGGAGGGTACTCAGCTATATATTAATAAAAAATATATAAAATTAATATACAAAAACATGAAAATTTAATTATTCTAAAAAATGTGTACTTTGAACAGTAATAATGTTTTGTTAAAAAAAAAATTATTTAAAAAAATATATAATTTTTTAAAGATCAATTATAAAAATCAATAATAAAAACTGATTGCATATATCTGTAATTCCTATTTGCTTCAATAAAGAAGATTCCGGATATACTTTACAGCAATTGATCACACATTTATACGAAATTATAACAATCTGATGAATAGTAATTTGAGGAACAATTTGAGACAAACGCATTCACGTGATCTGCCATTATGGTATCCCCGATGCGCAATTGTACCTGTACTTAATCTTAATTAATCGCGGGTATTAGGATATACGTGAGGTTAAATCTCGGTACTGTTGTGCAGTTCATCAATGAAATGTGCCATTTCGAACCGTTTGTTCACGAAATGGAACTTTGAGTCCCATGTCCGGTCTTTTCCACGGTAGCTCTGAAGCACTTTGCTAGATTAGAATAAACCGATGCTATCGACGTCTTTATTCGCAGTCACCTAAAACTGTCGACCCTCCTTCGCGCCAAGATATATCTTTATGACTGCGGCGTTAGAGACTTATTCTATAGTAAATGGCATTGCTTGAACTTTGATCGTAATATATGGCGAACGTTGCATCTCATTGATATACACATATATTGTATATGTGGGTACTCCGAGCAACTTATTCATATATGATTCAGACAAGAATAATGTTGCAGAATACGATTGTATAATATAAATCAGAAATAATATTATTGTTATTAAATTCTAGGAAGACAAGATATATTCTCGTAATTTGATTTCCATTTTCCACACACTGCGATAATTATTTTACCTAAATTAATATT